CGTCAAGTGAAATCATAATATCGTTTCTTGTTAAATCATAATATCGTGTATAGGGACATCATGATATCGTGTGTTATAAAATAATGATATCGTGTGTTGTTTAATCATAATATCGCGTAAAGTGAAATCATAATATCGTGTAGAGTGGCATCATGATATCGTGTGTTGTTAAAAAATAGCATTGTGTGTTGTCAAATCATAATATCTTTTGTTGTTAAATCATAATATCGTTTTTTGTTAAATCATAATATCTTGTGATGTTAAATGATAATATAGTTTGTTGTTAAATCATTATATCGCGTAGTGTGAAATTATAATATTTTGTATTGTTAAATCATAATATCATGTGTTGTTAAATCATAATATCGTGTATTGTTAAATCATAATATTGTGTGTTGTTAAATCATAATATCGTGTGTTGTTAAATCATAATATCGTGTGATTGTTAAATCATAATATTCGTGTGTTGTTAAATCATAATATCGTGTGTTGTTAAATCCATAACAATCGTGTGTTGTTAAATCATAAATCGTGTGTATGTTAAATCATAATTCGTTTCGTTGTGGGTAAATAATAATATCGTGTGTTGTTAAATCATAATATCGTGTATTGTTAAATCATAATATCGTGTGTTGTTAAATCATAATATCGTGTGTTGTTAAATCATAATATCGTGTGTTGTTAAATCATAATATCGTGTGTTGTTAAATCATAATATCGTGTGTTGTTAAATCATAATATCGTGTGTTGTTAAATCATAATATCGTGTGTTGTTAAATCATAATATCGTGTGTTGTTAAATCATAATATCGTGTGTTGTTAAATCATAATATCGTGTGTTGTTAAATCATAATATCGTGTGTTGTTAAATCATAATACCGTTTGTTGTTAAATCATAATATCGTGTGTTGTTAAATCATAATACCGTTTGTTGTTAAATCATAATATCGTTTGTTGTTAAATCATAATATCGTGTGTTGTTAAATCATAATATCGTGTGTTGTTAAATCATAATATCGTTTGTTGTTAAATCATAATATCGTGTGTTGTTAAATCATAATATCGTGTGTTGTTAAATCATAATATCGTGTGTTGTTAAATCATAATATCGTGTGTTGTTGAATCATAATATCGTGTGTTGTTAAATCATAATATCGTTTGTTGTTAAGTCATAATATCGCATATAGTAAAATCATAATATCTTGTGTAGTTAATCATAATAATGTTATAGTAAAATCATGATATAGCGTAAAGTAAAATCATTATATCGTGTACTGTGTATCGTTATAACATTTGTTGTTAAATCATAATAGTGTGTATTATCAGACATCATTTATAGTTAGCTTTAAACATCGTGTATAATCTAATCATGATATTGTATATTGTCCAAATTGTTCAAAATAAAATATCATTTTTGAAGGACTAACATAATTATGATGGTTGATACAAGTTAATGAATATTTATGCAAAAATATTAATATAAATTCCTTTCAAATACGCATTTACAGGAAATTTGCTCTTAAATTATATAACATTGAACTGGAGCCTATGAATTTGTATAATCGTTATCATGAAAATGTTAAAATAAAAGTTAATATAATGATCATTTAAATCGTCATAATTAGTTAAATAGAAATTTGTTATAAACATTTAATATTTTATTGAAATAATAAACAAATTGTTCAAGTAGTACATAGAGGATATTCAAGTTTTTTCTATAAAAACATGATTTATTTTCATCGAGTGGTATGAAAATAAATATTTCATGAGTGGCGGTAGCCACGAGTGAAATATGGTAATTTTCATGCCACAAGATGAAAATAAATCATGTATTTATAGAAAAAACTTGAATTTTCTGTTTATTATATACATTTTCTCTTTTTTGCAATAAAATTTGAAAGACTTTCCCTTAAATTTTGTGTACTGGCAGAATTTAATAGAAAGTAGTCCGGCAAAACACCAGTGAAAATACGGAAAATATGTTTCACTGCAGTGAAAAATAAATTTTTACAGTGAAAATACGGAAAATGAAAATACGCAATTTATTTCATCAATATTTCTCAATATTTCATTTATAAATATATAATAAATATTTTTCGGGTATAACAAACGTAATCGCTTTTAGCATGTGGTATTAGAAAGGTATGATTATAACGGAGTCAATTGAAATATTTTCTAACAAATAAATGTATTTTCTCACACAGATGTCAATAGGTTATGACTGCAAACACCGTTTTGTTTCCCTAAAGCGATGAAACGGCAATTAACATAAATAATCGTGTTTATGATATAATTTAATTATGTTAGAGTGTAAGAGCAACACAAAAAATGTTATATAAAGATTGTAAGGCAATAATATATTTCCTATCATTAGAGATAATAAATAAAAAATATAAAGTACACAGGGCATAAACGTTTGATATAACATTATACTATTGTTTCTGGTGTATTTGAGAAATTTTGGTTCCTACACCATGTGAGCATAGGTGTCTATCTATTTATATCTATCTATCTGATGTAAATGTTGATATCATCATTTTTTTCTCTTTTGTTCAATCATTACGACTTTATCTATAATAACCATAATTGATATGAGTGTCAGTCGGATGAATAAATAAAAATTGTCTAACATTTACATTAAATAATATAAATATATAATTTTTTTATATATACTAACATATTTTAAGTATTTGTATAGATTATTGTTAAATCAGAAGGCCATACTGAAAATAAGTATACTTGTTACTATGAACTTTGTATGTTACCTTCTATAAATAAAGATTTTATTATTATTATTTGGTGTATTTCAGAAATTTTGGTTTCTAAACCATGTGAAAATAGACGACTCATCTATTTATATATATATATTTTATTAACCGTAGACTTCCAGTTTAATCCTTCAAGATTTGTCTATTATGTTCTGTCTGCAACTTGAACTGCTTGATTTATTCGATTTTAAATTTATTATCTACATTTGTATATCCTTGTGAAAAAAAAAATCACCTAATTATTCATAAGTTCTCTACAAGTAGTAATAGACATTCAAGTAATAAAATATCAATATATTAAAAGAACGTAGGGTCACATATTATATTATATGAACTACAATATTTGTTCACTTTGTGGCACTTACAGGAACTTATTGCAATACTTTAGTAAACATACGTACTTGTGTAAAGCTAGACAGTCATGAAATGTTATAATAATAAACACAACTTGCTTTCATAGAGAATTTGAAAGCTTTCCTTTCGGACTTTCATGCTGAATTGATTCATTTAATTCTCGAGAAATTCTGTCAGCTTATTTTAAAAATTGATAAATGTTTGATTTTCATTTTAATAATTGACGATTGACATGGAGTTGCCGTTTCATCTGGCACGACATATATATGTACAAATTTCTGCTTCAACCGCTTCCTTAATGAAAAAATGTGTATGCTGTGAAACAAAATTCTTTTGAATAAATATAGAATAAATTTTAGTATGTCAAGTAATTTTTGCGTCATAATGGTAAAAGAAATGCCTTACAGTTACCATCATTTGTTGGGTATATTTCAAATTTCAAATATTTTGATGATAATTATATGACAGAATTCCTTTTCATAGACGGAGGGAAAAATAAAAGAATAATTTGGATCATCCGCTAGTAAACCAACGATACACATGTCTACCATTTTGAGATGTTTCATCTTATATAGGAAATTGCATTGTCTCTTACATGATAAACAACATATTGAAAAATTGCATCGATAGATATCCCGCTAGTTCAACAATAAAAACTTGTCTAAGAATGGTTTTCTAAATTTCCATGAGTTTTCAGAAATAGTCTTAATTTTCATCTGTTTAATTTTGTTTACCTTTGCACATTAAATGTCTCCCAAAACCAAATTTTTAACTATAACATCTTGTTTGAAGAGAAGGGTGGCAGCTGTAAAAATGTGTTTAATTTTAGACTTTTTTAAGACCTTTTAGACGTTATATTTGTCTAATCCTTCTGGATAATTGATTCATATAAGTTAAGTGTTTCTTAGTGGGTTTCAGGGCTATAAAATGGTGTTCTAGTTATCTAAAAACAACGTTTTCTTGCATTGAAGATGAATTTGACTATGCTGGACAGATTTATGTGCATACATTACAAGACCCACAATGAATAAGACCGTCAAAAAGTCTTTTGATTCCATCAATGTTTTTAACCTTTTAGGAAGAATGTGTTACACTTGATTATCATGAAATTAGTGTGTATCTATTGATATGTTGTTAGTTTTAGTGACATGAAGCTGAGAGTGCGGTGTCATATTGGGCACATACAGAATTGTGGATATTTCTTAGTGGTGTCTACAACTGCCTTTACTGTATTCAACTTTATATTGACCTTAATCTTGTATGTGATTTTCTGGTACATTGTTGTAGGCTTTCTATACAAACAATCTTAATTGGACTTAAAACACAAAAATTTATTGATAGAGTAACAATTTCTGTAATTTGAATACTACTAACAACGGCAAACACAGATCCTCTTCCATGTTTGTGTTTGGTTGTTTGTTTTGTTTGTTTGCATGTTTTTGTATTTTGTCGTTTCTTGAAGTTTTCTTTAAGTTAAATTATCAGCCACTTCATATGCTTATTTATTATTATAGTGTTTTGTCGTTTTTATAAAATCAATTTTTTAATTTCATAGGACAATAACTTATTTTAAAGAGAAATAGGAAACTGTTTCAGATTATATAAATTGAATTAACTTGGGAGTCAAATATTTGCACATGATGCTACTTATTGCAGTGACCAACTTATAAAATGCCATAAAATAATAAAGTACTACTAATTATCCGTTCCGTTTTGTCGTACTTTAATGGTAATGTTCTTCATATTCGCCTCGTAATTATTGAATCGTGGTTGACGAATACAGACGCGTTCCCTCAAACCTCATCTATAAATTTAGATTTTGCTTGTTGAAAATCATTTTTCTGTAACTGTAAGTCTATCATTGTTCTTATTTTGTAGGTAAGATTTGAGGTTCGGATACCGATAAAGTTGACCCCTGATCAATGGATAAGAATGCTGGAACAGATGTTATTGTTGATCTTGATTCTAGGGAGATGGTTACTACCAAAAGGAAAGTTGACTCATAATCAACTTTCGCAGTTATTACTGGTTTATATAGGAACGGCCGCTGATATTGTTGAGTTCTTTGAAGCATTTAAGGAAAAAGAGGTAATTATACGTATTTATAATATCTGGACAAACTCAGGGAAATGCACTGAAGTTCTTATAATAAATAAATTTCGTGCAATATTATAGGTAGAAATCACGAACAATATATTTTACAATACAATAAACTACAATTCAATTTTAAATGGAATCGCGTACACTATTCTATAACAGAACAACGTTCAATATTTTACAATAAAAATATCCTACATACAGTTTTCTGCATGGAATCGCGTAAAATATTTTATAAAACAATATTCTCAATAAAATCGCATACATAAAATAATGATAAATGAATTTTGATGTAAAAATATGATAAAGGAATACACTAGTATCATAAAAGCATCATTTTATTGAATAATTTATTTATATGCGTCATGCTAGTGTAATAACCGTTATAACAAAACAGCACATTTTTCAATTACTTGTCAGTGTCGGAAAGTTTGTTTAACAAACCAAAGAGTCATTTATACAAAAGAATTTTGGGGATATAAAGACAGATATTTGGACATAATTATATCCGAACTATTGTTTAAATAATTTGCTTTTATAAAAAAAAATACGAAAATGTTTTCCTTTCCCCGTCCGATTATTAAAGTGAATTTAATTTAATACGTTTTTTTTTGTTTGTTTGGTTATTTTTTTTTGACAAAAGCTTGAAATGTTAGTTTAAACCTCAAATCAAATGTTAAGGTGTTAGTGTCGAATTCTCATAAATTTGGGTAATTACTTATATTTCACTTTCATACCAGTCCGAATTACATTTTTATGGCTTAAATTGCTGTTATTATATAATCTAAATTTTCTAATATTTCTGTTTGATATTATTTATGTCAACGTTTCATTTATTACATTAAATGAACTTAAATCATTTTAACTTGTGTGATAACATCTTTAGAACTGTTCCTGTACATTAAAATATTTTCAACCTATTTTTCAGGTGCGACACCACAAAATACTGTGCATAATCATTTTAGGTATTTGGTCGTTGAGCCTAGTTCAATTTTCATTAGTTCTGACAGCCTCGCGAGCTGAGAGAGATCGCAATAAACAATATCTTACAAAGCTAGATAAGGGACGTTACTGCCGCTGCTGTCACGCAGATGTGTTTGGAATACTTATCTCCATTCTTTTGCAAGATTTACCTTTCTTGGTCTTGCGTATGCTTCTCATCTTTAAATATAATGTGTTAAGTTACACAAATATGTTCTTCACTTCGAAGAATACGCTCGTTATAGCTTTGCTGATATACAGATTAATAGTGCTATTTATAAACAGGAACGAGCCAGACAAAGACGTGACAATTGAATCGAATAACGGAGACATATCTTTAATTCCGGAAACAAGTACATTCAGGAGAACATCGGAAAAACGAAGACAACTTTTGGAATTTTACGTCAGTGACAATTTTGATAGATATCAAAGTCGACCATCATCACGTGAATATGAAGTTAGACCTGAAACCCATAAGTGGGGTCGTGCGTATTCGTTTGAATTGGTGCAAATGTGATGTTGGAAATTACTCTATCTTGTAAAATATTAACATATCAGTCGTAATCTGTCTTTCTTGTATTGTTAACAATTTAACATGTTTATCTTTTAAATGACTTATTAATTAGTGCGATTTTGTCTTTTTAACATAATTACAAGGAATAAATATATTAAAAAGACAGATTGTTTATTAGTCGTTTATTGTCATACATCAATGTCACTTTTATCATTTCATGATTTAAGTCAGGTAGTCTATTTGTTATCAGTTTAGGTAAAAAAAGATATCACCATGCATAAATTAAGATCTAAATCATTTTCCAACAATGTGTCTCCCTGTTAATTAACCCTTATTGAAACTTTGAAAGGAGAGTGGTTATTTTTAGTTGCCCAGGCTGTATGAACTAGGATTTACTTGCTAAAAGTGATAATTTACATGAGGTTTCCATGATCTTTTCATATGTCATACTATGTATTATAAAATTTTGTTTTAAAAAATCAAAAAAATCAAATGTTACCGGTATGAATATACATGTATGTTTAATTGTTACAAACTAATAAGAATCTAAGGGATCTTATTGTATTACTTTTTTAAAATTTGAATCGAGAAAATATCTGGTCACGCTCTAATACATCAATTCCTAGTGTCAATAAATCGATTTGTAAAATACATTTAACTTAATGTAGTCAAATGAACGTTTAAAAGGTAAAATGCTTTATAACTTTATTAAGGAAATTGCTCTCTAACATTTTACCGCTTTTTATTTATATCATGACTGTATTAACATACATGACTCCTTTTGTTTAATCATATTTTATTGCTATATACATGTATATACAATACAGATACAAATTTCATATGTATTCTTAACAGCAAAAGCAAACGGGTTGTGTTCAAGTTCTTACAACATTAGCGGTCAACCCTCCCCAAGAGATAATGACACGAACAAACTATATTCAATACTTAATGGCATATAACATAAACAAAGTGTATATCATATATAATTGCTGATGGAATGAATCGTATGAAACGATTTTTAACAATATACAATAAAGTAATCGAACAGATAGAAATCAACGTTCGTGCATTTTATAAATTTATAAATATGGATGATCCAAGGATTCAGTATCACCTACCCCCACCCATAAATGCCACGGGTTTCGTTAAGGCTTTTATGTGCATTTACTTTATATTGGGTACAGGGTATTTGTAATTGCTACTTATATAATATGCTAAGTACATGTATAACTGATTACAATAAAGGTTTAATGTTTAGGTATAAGTGAATCGATTTGTATTTTTAAAACATTTATGGATAGCAGTAAATATAACTTCCTAGGCTATTACTTCTAAGTAACAGCAGATTTGTATTAAGTGGGAGGAACGTCCTAGTTTCTGTAAAGAGTGTTATTCTTTGCGTATGATAACTCGGACACTTAAAGAAAAGATGCTCAGCATTCTCAACTGCATTTCCGCAATGACATGTGGGATTTTCACTAAGATGATTTCTGACTAGGTCACCATTTAGGCTACTGCAATTGTGTCTTATACGTGAGTGTAAAACTGATAATAATCTATCACCTATCAAAAATGTTTAGGTACAATAGGAGCTTTAAACATTTCTTTCATTCTAGTTTTAAATATGTTTAGTGATTCCGCATGACCTTTTGTTAAATGTGTTGCAAAGTTCGAACAATAAATAATGTTATTTCCAGGATCTTTGTTTGTATAATTATATTGTTATCAATTGAAATTTACAAGCAAGTGAAGGGAAAGACATTTTGTAAAATGAACTGGAAAGTTTCTCATGACTTTTTTTATTTTTATTTTATTCATTTTCAACCTCGACTTTCTTCACACAAAGAACATAATTGTAGACAATTAAACAATTAAGTTATGTTAGTCATAATAAGATAGTAGTATATCAATCAAGCATGTATAGTAAAATTTAATTTTGTAAACTATTGAAAAGACTGTTCAAGTGACATTTGAAGTTAAATGTAGATATATTGATGGAATCAATAATGACCGTAATAAAACATAAATACATTAACTAAGAAGGGAAACATTAATTTTTTTCTGGTATTAGATTATTTCTTTTAATTACTGACATTGTTTCTGTCGCATTTTTCTTGATTGATAAATAATAGTAAACCCCCCTTTAAAACATGTAGTAAAGTTCCCCCATCTGCATAAATACCGTGTACATAAAAAATATAAATGAAAATTCTAACTATTGATTTCCGGTTAAAACTCTCAAATTGTGAATAGCTGATCGCCTCGACCTAGTAAGATAACATTCAAGGGTATATGCTTCTAGAAATCAATTAATATAATTAAAACAGCATATTTCACTCATTAAATATTCATTTTGTTAGGTCTTTGGCATGTTCGACGTGCAATATTGATATTCTCTTAGATATCAGCACTGACACACATATCTGTCCTATGTTTGTTTAACTATAACGAGGTAAAACTATCAATTGTCTGCTTACATTTAATAAAATATTCATTGAAACAACGCCAGACAAATATTGATTGTGAAGATGAAATTGAATTCCATAACAATATTTCATTGTTCGAGAACAAGTTTAGCAGTCAGGACAAAAATGGAAATGCCGGAGAGATACTTCACTTTTATATTGCTGTATATTTTTACATGTATCACTGATGGTTGTGTTGATTTTCATATAAGTAGAGGTGGCATAAGTAACTTACAGGTTAACACAACCGTACATGCACCTCTCAGTACATCTGAACGGTTTCATCTGTCACAGTGTATCCAGGACTGCTTCTATGTCTCCGCGTAAGTACGGTCTTTTTATATATTGTATTGTATTTTATATATTGTATTATATTTTATTATATCATTTTTACGCCATTTAGTTTAATAAAAGTAGTTTTGATGGCAACATAAAGCCTTTCACCCTATGACCCGAACGCAGCTTATAGCTTTCTCGCCCTTTAACCCTTACGCATCTTGTGGTTTATTAAGAATTATTCATTTGTCAAGAAATAATGACAACTATTTTGTTGTTAGTGCAACCTTTGACCTAAATAAAACATTATTAATTATTATTGTACACCAGTCAGTAATCCCAAATAGTTCAATTTTTTTTTGATATATTCAAGAACACAGGCACTTTTTAAACTGAGGGTTTTGATTATGCATCATTAATGTTTGATTACAATGCAATATACGAAAAAAATAAATAAAACTTTTCTACCACTTATGAGTATAACAACATTTACTGATCAACCCGATCAACAAACTGGCCCCCAAATTATTTTCGTACGGTACATTTATCAAAGCTCGACTTTTTGTGTTACCTCACCAATGTTCGCCTATATTTATATGCAAGAATAGTAATGGACTGAACGCACGCTTTGTATGAGTTATATATGGTCTTGACACTGGTGAAAAATCATACACACCACTATTCAAAATAATAAAAACAACTGAGTTTAATAAATTCATCAGTCTTGGTAAGAAATGATAATAAAACTACCCAGAACTTGAGCTAGATAGCAGGCAAGTGTATTAAATACGTCACCAACAGTTTTGATGTGCATCGACTTATTAGTTTACAACAGGCGCCGTCAACAACTAGTAAGAACTAGCCAGCAGAGTATTACGACATTGCACATTCCCAACACAATTTTGGTATCGTATCCGCATGAATCCTTTTGTTATAAATATATTGGACGAGGCACTTGAATCAATATTGTACTCAACAATATATATTCTTATAACTATTTTTGACTTGTTTACATACTTTTGAGTACAATATTAACTCGACATGGATTTGTTCCTCGGAACATGGAAGCAAGACAAGATGGTGTACAATGTCGATTTGATACGGACAATGAAATTGATAAAATCGAATAAAATAATGAATTATATTTGGATATCACATTTTGCAAGATCTGAAAATGCCGTTGTTACATTTTGTAAAGTGTGAAATAAAATAATTTATCTTGCAAATGTTCACCTACGGTTACCTGTGAATACTGATCTATCAGATGTGCACTTTATATACATGTCATGTGATAATATACCGTTGTACGTTTTTTTTCAGATGCAACAATGTGAATTACAATCCGTCTTCACTGACATGTCATTTCTTTGATATTTCTGGATCGGTGTCCTCTGTTGACGACCCTGCTTCAATATGGAAATCAGTGTCTCTCTCAGACGTGATATGGGTAATTGTAATTATGAGTGCACTCCACTTTTGTTTGCAATAAATACTGTCCCTTACAATACTGTTACATAATACAATTATCAATACAGTTATCACATATTTATTCAACAGACAGTTACTATTTATGATAGAGAAATGCTTTACTCGAGTCATATTATATATTTTTCTAGATTCTTTGGATTATTTCCTACTTAAGCCGGTACTAGTGGATGCGATAGATGTACTTTCAATAATATCGCAAGAACAGTCTCAATAAAACAGATTCTGGGATGTTCAACAATTTTGGTTTTAACATTGATCCCCTTTCCCCCCAGCAGTTCTAGGAACACTGCCACTTTTTAATTTTGATACAAAAGAATAAAATGCATTGAAAAAACGACAGGATGTCCTGATCCAGACAGCGACATGGATTGGAACAATGTTTAGTTTAACATTAAAATACATATATCAAATAAACCAATTAACTACTCACAGATGAAATAAAACACTAGTTCGTGTTGAACAGAATAACAACAACAAAAACTTAATTGATCAATGGTTAGTTAGTTTGTATAACAGGGATGTCAGAGCTTTATAATTTGTTTTGATTTGTTTCACATGCATCCCAATAAACATTTTTATTAAATGTAGTATATCTTTCTTATATTTAGAATAATTTATTTAGACACTTAATATTACGTATTGTTTCTTTGCAGTCACCAGGGAAGAACTACTGTGCCACTAATTCTTGCAAGAATGGAGAAAGTTGCTTTCATATTGGAAACGACATGACATGCGTTGTAATATAGCGAATTGGTGATGAGAACGAATGGCAGTTTTAAACTGAAGCAATAATTTTTTATTATATTTATTCATTTTCAAAAGAAAGCTTACTAAAAAAACGATTTTCTCTTTTTTTAAATTTATCTTTAAAGCAATTGACCTTGAAATATTTAATTCAATAGACTCATAACACAATAAGGATTATGAATAAGTTCATGTTCATATGTTAATGTTTGTATGATTTCCTGTACTGTATTATGATAATGTTTATTGATGTGTTGTAAAGTTGGATCCAACTACAAAGAATTTGCAAATATTACATGAAATTGCATAATATTACATCATATAAAACTTTTATGAATATTATTCAGGAAACAAGTGCTGAAACTTTAATTTAGATTTAATTTTATCTTAAAACATAATTATATTGAATGTGTATTGTTTATTAGTGGACATTACATTCTTATCCCCTAGTTTAATGTTGGTTATGATTGTACTGAGCAACTTCTACGGTAAGTATCTCCCCCCTAGTTTTGTTCCCAATTTCCAACCCCTTCCCCTCCTTTTGGCCCTCTCCCCTTATCCTTTTGTCTGTCATAAAATGTAGGATTTTATGATTTCGTATCTTGAATAATTTAAAATGATACTCCGACCGAAGTTTGTCTGTATGCCCTATCCTGTATGGTGTCCTGCTGGGCTCCTTGCTGGTGGTCCTGTGTTGGGTGATGAGTTCATTGAATGTCACACTTCCCTGTTAAGCTTTTTTATAGATATATTGCAGAGTGCAGAGCTTATTGATTCATTCTTTTACAGTTACTTAGCATGACCTAAGATTCTTTTAGATGTATATTTTGTATGTAACTATCTAAAAGAATCTTAGGTCATGCTAAGTATCGTTATTATAACATGTCCATATCATGAAGTATTGGGTAAAACTAATGAATACAGATATGTAATAATATTTTATAAGGTATTTATCAAAATGCGCTAGAACAGTGTAATCTATATGGTACAAAAACTTGCATTACCTTGTTAAAAATTTGCTCGATGAATATGGATTTTCTGATGTTTGGAATTGTCCACGAAGATTTGAAGGAAAAACATTTATACCGATTTTCAAACAAAGAGATTGTTTTGAACAAAAATGGTTTTGCTGATATAGCTGTTAATAAAGTCTTGAATACTTTACATGCAAATGTTAAAACTAGCTTCGGTATGGAAAATTATCTTAATTTGCTATCTTTTAAATATTCAATAATATGTCTCACGAACTTGCGTATATCTACCCATAAGTTAAAAATTGAATCTGACAGGTATGGCCGGAATAGTTTGGAAAGACAGGAACGTTTCTTCCAAGTATGTTATATCAACGAAATTGAAGACGAATTTCATTTTGTATTTAAATGTTAAGCATACGAGGGGTGTCCCAGAATTACGTGGACTTTTGCTGTAACTCAAAAACTACTGAAAATAAAAACAAACAAAATTAACATGATAAAAATGCAACCTTATTGCATTAGTACAAAAAAGTTGTCCGGCAACTGGATCAGTGTCTGTGGGCAGGGTAATGAGACAAGGGGTAGCGGGTGCGGGGCAGTCCATTCCAACGTTACGACGTCATTCCGGTGGCGTCGCTAGTTGTTAATAAATGCGTGGCGTCGAATGTCAGTTTTTCTCAACATAGTTGCCGCCTAACTCAAAACACCGATGGTGTCGATATATCCAATGGTCGTAATAATAATAATAATAATAATAATAATAATTATAATAATATTAATAATAATAATAAAGCATACTATTAACTTTTGTTACGAAAATAGTGTTAAAGACGACGGTGATAATGCTGACGCCGTATTATTATTATTATTATTTATCATTATTCTTTTTATTATTATTATTATTATTCTTATTATTATTATTATTATTGTGGAGTTTATTTTGTACGCAAAGACAATGTGCGTTAACAAGGGAAATAACCTATCATGCGCACTGCTTACTATAGCAGTTTGAGTTCAGTTTCTTAAAAGCTGAAGCGGATAAATTGCGTTTTAAAATAATAAATTGTGATTAGCTTAATTTTTAAAAATCATTTTTTTAAACACAAAATTATTGCTTACCCTTGAATGTAACGCCTGTCCCGATCTATGACTTCATTGACTTCCTTAATTGACGCCGCAGTCAACGTTGGCTTTCTCCCACGACCGTTGTCGTCTTCAATGTCCTCCCGGCCATCTCGAAAACGCTTATGCCACTTGAAAACGAGTATCAAGAATGTTAGAACGTTATTATTATGTTTATATAAGTATAGTTTTCTAGAACTGTTACAATCGTACAATAAAGGCGTTCTGATCAATATGATTAAATTCATAAACTCAGCCAATAAAATTAGAAATGATTTAATGCAAATAATTTAATAAATGTTTGAAATGTAAAAGCGTTTACTACACTATAAGATAGACATATAGAAAGCGTATATGCATCAAGATTCTGACAATTTCTCCCTTAAGTGAGTATTATCTTGACATGTTTGTAATGAAGTAATGCTCTTCCATATATTACATTTAAGTTATATTTACATAAATGCAATTACCAGATACTATTGCCATAACGTTCTGATTCTTTAAACACCAAATTATTTCAATTATGTTCATTCTCTGTGAAATATTGAATTGAGAAAATAGGAATCCCTAAATAAAGACTAAAACGGCAAAATTGAAAATGTTGCAGGCTCGGTTTGATTGAGCCTGTTCATGGACGGTACTGTCAAGTACACACTTCCGTCCACACCACCTAGCACGAGCTTAAACAGTTTTTCAACATTTATACATCTAATGGTAAAAATATTGAATTTAGATCTGTACATGTGTTCATACAGCAGTAATCATAGAACAGTCAATGTGACACTTTCGTGCCATTCTATGAAAAGCGGCGTATGATCCCCAAGTAAAATAAAGCGTTTGCCCTAAACGAGAAAACATAGGCGGAACTTTTGAACGGAGATCAGAGGTTATGAAGCCTGCATATCACAGATAAGACGTCAAAAGACACATTTAAAAACAGACAACATATCCTAAGGGTGATTCAACTTATTCAAGTAGGAAAATTTGAACCACACAACTAGGAAAATGAAAACTAAAATTACCATAAACACAACAATAAGATCGTGCTTCAAGGATCGGAAATAAAACATCTCTGATTGAATGTACGGGGCGACTTTTTACAGCCTCCACACTGCATCAACAACGCTGATGTGGCGATAAACTTGAGAAAATACGAAATCCCTAAAGAAAGTCCAAAACGGCAACTTGAAAATATTGCAGACTCAGTTTGTTTGAGCCTGTTCATGGACGGTAATATCAAGTGCAAACTACCATCCACGCCTTTTGCACCGGCTTAAGCCGTATTTAACATTTAAACATGTAATGGTAATGTTCGTTTATCACGTACATAGCATTGTATGCATTTAATTTACAGTTGTATTAAAAAGAAAAAAACATATACATTTCTAACTTCACTGAACTGAGTGACTTTAAGATAAATGAATTGTGTTCTTGTTATACGTGTTATGTACACTGATCACTTAACTGTATAATACATAAAAGATAATTCAGTGTTGTTGTTTTTTTTCCAGTAACAGCAAACAAACAACTTTTATACGACATTAAACATTGAATAATGCATAAAACTAAATGTGACAAGGGTTAAATTATTATTTGTTCTTGACCACATATTACAATATATAGGCTTTCCAAATACTTACATCACTGATTTTCTATATAATAATTGTTAGTCCAATAAAAAGCATATTCTATGTAAATTCAATGATTTATAATAAATGTAACATATTTTATATTGCATCTCAAGCATTGTTTTCATCATATTCAATATGAAATTAAGCTAGAGACACCGTCTATGAGTAATGAAAATCACCAAATCACTGGACGATGTTAACAAACACAAGATATTGATAATCAGATAGAGTTTTGTGTTTTTTTACTGTCGTGTAAATTATATCGTTATGTCGTCTGGTAGTACGATTCACATGATTCCCTTTCAAATAAGTGCATTATAACACGATATATGCAATGTAAAATACAAGAATGTTTACAAGTCATGTGACGTCAGACATGACATCAATAAATATTATGACGTCTGAAAAATTACTTCTATTTCTTCGTCGGTCATAAAGTAAATACGGTAAGCTATATCGAACAGGCTAAAGGTTTCCTGGAGAATTTATATGTTAATGACTATATTTTGCCCGATGATTGTTTAATGACAAAGCAAGTCTTTTTATACAAGAAATAAGATGTCAAATTATGTAGGTTGTGTTTGCAATAATTGTTGAATTGACTTGAGTTCATTGAAACTTTGGTAAGATAATGGTGATCTTTAATTTGAAATTTCAATGGAAATGTTATGTGATGCATGTGAGTAATCGCTACATAAAACTAATGTTTTAACGTTAGAATTTCGTTTTGTTACACTCTGTTGAGTATATTTCCAATTAACAATTAAATTGAGTCGAGCGGGAAAATGCGGCCATTTACAAGTTGATTCTAATTTTCAGGCGCAAAGGGATTTGCTAACAATGATTATTTCTGCAAAAAATGCGACTCGCTTGGTAAATATATTTCGCCATGTTTCTGGTGATAACTTTATTTTTAGCAGATATTAATTGTACGAATTTGTGCATATTTGGGCGCCTGTAAACATATTGTTTAATGTATTTATGACGCAAGGTTTCACAGGCTTTGCAAATTATTGTGAAGTGGTATTCATCCTCAATTTCTTGAGAATCACAAAGCTGACAAACTCGCTCGGACCGTTCTATGCGATTTTGACCGTGCCTACGAGTTTCAATGCGCAGCCTATGTGCCGATACGCGTATTCTTGTCAAAGACTGACGTAAATACTTAGCGTTTATTACGTTAAGATAGTCACTCATGACGAACGCATCTTTAAGGTATACATATAAAGTGTTCAGAACAATATTTGCTTGCAAATCAGCTCGCCAGCTCTAACAGTCAAATAGCCGTTGTCTAAATAAAGGTAGGAAGAGTTTGGCATCTCGTTATCTTGATTTTCCCAAACGTCAGAAAACCCATACTGATTGAGTAATATCTTGACTCTGCCGGCCCAACTTACTGTATTACTATTTAGGCATCTTTTCAACGATTCGTCATATACGCGTTTAATTATAATGTTATCCGTCATTAGAATTTGTAACCAATACTTAATAATCTGATAATATCTTGTAATATGCAGCGGATACCGCGCTAGTTCCCCATATACGGCTGCATTACTAGTACTTTGTTTGACTCCCAAGATTGACTTGCAAAACATCAAGTGCACGCGTTCTATTTCCTTTGTTTTCGAGAAACCCCAAATCGGACAGGCATAGTTTAAGATCGAACTGACAAATGCATCAAAAAGTTTCATAGATAACGATGGGTTTAATTCATATTTATTGATATTGTTTAAAAGTATGTTTGAGGCTTTAAGCGCCTTTCCAATAACGTACTGATTATGCAAAACGAATGAACCGGTATAATTAAACACGACCCCCAAGTAATTAAAATCATTTACTACCTCAAGAGGTTGGTTGTTATAATACCAGCGTTCTTCTTGATTAACAGGACCCCATTTTACGGAACACTACGACTTTGGTTTTTTCTATATTAACTTGAAGTCCCCAGTAATTGCAATAATCACATAATTAACACAGAATTAAACTAGTCTGTAAGTCCTGCACAGAATTACCAATTAAAACAATATCGTCTGCAAACATTAGTAATATTACACAAATATCATGCATTGTTAAACCAGACGTGTTCGTATCTTGCAAAAATAGTTCTAAATCCTCTAGAAATAACGCGAACAAGGCAGGAGAATTATTAAGATCTTGTCTTAAATCGATTGATATTTCGAAGAAGTCTGAGTACTTATTACAACTTTTAACGCACGATCTTACAACAGCATACATTGCCCTAAACGTTTGTAGAATTTTGCCATCGATGCCCATATTAAAAAGTTTGAACCATAGTGCATTGCGGTAGACGGAGTCGACTGCTTTCTGCAGATCAATGAATGCGCAGGGCAGTCTCAACTTTTGTGATAAAACGTGTTCTATTAAGTTATGTAATACAAAAGCCGCATCAACCGTACTCCTACCCTTTCTAAAACCAAACTGAGCGTCTGAAACAAAATTGTTTTTTTCGAACCTTTTTTCAATTCTACCTGTCAGTATACTTGTATACAATTTTCCCAGATTGCTTAATAAAGTGATCCCACGATAATTATTTGGCAAATTTTTATCCCCCTTTTTAAAGATAGGCACTATAAATCCTTGAGACCAGGATTCTGGGAAAAGTCCAGAATTGAACACTTTGTTGAATAAATCAGTAATATGGCTACCAAGTATATCAATTGTTTCTATTAAATATTCGTTAATTAAGTGATCACTAGGACACGATGATTTGTTGCGCTTAAGACTTTTTACTGCTGTGATAACCTCTTGTAGCGATATAGGGCCATTAAGTTCACTGAATGTTGAATCATTCACATTAAAATCAGAAGTTTCGTTGAAAGTTTCAACATTATCAATGGAATTTGTCCTAATATCACTAAATAATTCAGAGAAATATGTCTTTAACTCATCCGGCGATATATTTCCATTTGCATTATTATATTTTGCCTTAAATGTTTCAAGGCTTTTTATTTTTTAGATCGGTCAATTTCCTTGATTTCTTTATTTTATGTGCACGTTTCTTTTTGCGTGAAATATATTTGAAACGCTTCCTTGCGTCGCACAACTGCGCACTATTGTAATCAGAGTTGCAGTTATTAAATAAAATTAGTGTGTTTTTATATTCAGTTTTAAGCATTAAACATTCATCATCGAACCAGGGAGAACTATTCCTATTATTTGAATTACCCTTATATTCTTTTTTAAATAATGAATCCGCCGCGTCTATAATAGCTCGCGAGAACTGCGTAACTGCTGAATCTACGTCAAGAGTGTCATCAAAAACAGTATTATTAAAAATATTTAAATTTCCAATAATATTGCTTCTAAATGATGCCTTTTTTATCAGCTTCCCATTTATAGTAAATATGTGATTCGGAAGAATGTACATCTGTATCTGTACGACTCGGCTCAATTCCATTTATATTAAACGACAACGCTGCTTGTGCGCTAAATGTGTTGAAAGGTAATGTTTCAAAAGAATTGAGTGCGTAAAACTCTTTCAACAAAGGATAGTCGATTGTACTGCTTGAATTGCGGTTAAAAAATGTAAAGGAGTCCGTGTTTATATAACGCCCTTTAGCAATTCGCAAACCTGTTGCTTTACACAGATCTAACATTTTTAATCCCCGCTATTGCATACGATATCGCATGAGATTCTGGGAAGGGTCTCATCGGGTATATAATTCAAATCGTCCGTAAAATTAAAATTTATATTTGAATCACAAAGTATATAATATGGCCTATCCCCTACTCTACAATTCCAGTCCCCCGCCAATAAAATACATCCGATTTGATCAAAGTAATAAATGTCTTGCATTAATTGTTCGAACAGATCCGCATCAATTACATTAGCAGCCGGCGACTCATCAGGCCATAAATACAGACCACATAAGTAAATATCTCTATCAAAATTGAAAAGAAAATGCATTTAGCTTTAACCAAATAATCGTATCAAAGTGATTTTTTTACTACGGACACTCCCTCGTTACAAATATTTCTAACATATATGGTAATTCCTCCACTATTACGCCTAGCTTTCTTATGCTTAAATTTCCTGAAAAAAGTTATAAGTAGTAAAATCTTACAACAACGTTGCGGTCCCGACGAGAGCCGGGCGCTCCCATACGATGTGTGCGCTCAAGTTTCATGGACTCCACTATTGACTTGGCCATTTTGAGTTTGTTCACTAAGAAATCACGAAATTTTAAATCCAAATTTTCACCAGGCTCCTCATTGAGCCCACCTAGCACTAGATTGTTCCGCATGCTTTGAGATTCAAAGTATGTAATTTAATTTTATCTTTGAGGTTTGTGTTTGTTGACAGTGTGGTTACGATAGCGCGAGATTCCGATAACAAAAACACAAAACTGTATAATCATTATAGTAATATCACACTGCATTATTATTATTATCATACTTTCCATTTTGTTCTTTATGTAGAATAGTTAATACAAAATCCTTTTTATTTCCACGAATAAAAGGTTCTTGCCTTGCTGATCATAAAACATCGGAATAATAAGTCCAACAACCAAATCAAAACTATATTCTACGTTTCTGTTATATAGTGCAGTAAAGTTCATTGAGCATCTAAACAATATAATGATTGCAAACGTGAACGGTATTAGCTAGTAAATTACAACCGTCCAATTTAACCAGAATAAATTCAATAAAATATTTTGACAAGTCAAGCTTGCTTGTAACTTTTTGAGTTCATTACAAATATAGAAATGTCATTGAGGACGCATCAACAGTTTAATAAGAGCATATGGGAATTTATTTAGAGGTGAACATACTGGATTACCTAATATTTTATCTCCGTTTTATTCAAGAGAGTCAAATTTGATCAACATATAAAGAGATGTATTGCAGCAATATTTATAATGATCTCAGAATCTCTGACAATCCTGGTCAATTTAAAAATGCCCATTTATGTACAATTATAACCAAATGATAATGACTTAATGTGAAGAGTTTTTAAGTGTATGAATAGTAGACTGTATAATTTTACTTGATTTAGGTGGACATTTACTCGATAAATTAGAATAAACTTTGTCAACTATTCCCAAGAGTTAGTAACTATGTGTTAATGTGTAAGTTAGACTGAAATACCGTATCAGTTATCTATGTATTTATACTATTCTTCTTGAGGTCGTTATTCGAAGACTGACGGAAATGTCCGAAAACGTGCGATTGAACTGAACGAAATCATTTACATTTCGGGCACAAAAATATCTAATTCAATTAATGACAAAAGTTATTAGTCTGTTTCATATAAAAAAATATTTCCATTCATACACAGTTTATATATGCGCAAACGTTTTAGGGAAATTGAAACGATAATAGTTTATATTTTAATAAAGCCCCCTTCGTTATTGATACTAAACGCATAAAATTATTTCAGCTGTTCAAAATAAAATCATTATGATAGTAATATTGCTTTCTCCTTACGAGACTAAATTATCCTTATCTTATCGGGCATTGCTTATGTTCTACATAACAGTTTAGTTTGTATATGTTGATAAAAGTCGTTTATACGAGATAGCAATGTTACAGGAATTATAACAAAATTAAGGTAAGTAAACGTGTATATATATCTCATCTTTTTGTAACTGTAACTTAAATCCCGTTATACAAATTGATGCCCGACATAAATCAAATATGAATCTTTAATGATCTCAGTGGCGAATGAATCTACAACTTAGGTCCGTCTATATCTATTATACTATTATACATGTATTCGACAACCATAATTAATTTTATGTCTATTGAATTTGCTTAATCGTGCAAGTCTTACTTGAGAAGTTCATAGCAAAATGTTCTTTAATTTGATTTTTATACTGTATAAATAACACCTATTGTAAAATTTTATATGTAATACATCGAAAAGTGTCACCAGAAAAGATGGCTTTCTTGATAGTATTGTTATCAGTGTTTGGCTTTGTGTACTCGGACTACGATTGTTTGTGTAACTACAATGTTGAGAAAAGTGTGCTACCGTCGGTAAGGTCGTTACTATATTACATATTTATCTGTTACTTTTTGTCAAGTGTTAAAATTATAGGCAAATTGTAAGAATTTAATATTATAATAAATTCGTATATATGTTTATTCAAGGAATAGTTGAAATCAAGCCTTACATTCTTATTCATGCCATGTTTGGCATTCTTGTTCACTTTTGCGCAGTTTCTCTAAGTGAGCAAACACATATAATTCTATAATCGAAACAGGACAAATCCATCTCATCAACAGATAAATCAATGAATATAATTACATTCTTTTTTGTATTTAGCCGTCTTCGCAAGTGCAACCGATTGGGTATCTTTACGAGTTTGACTGTAAGGAATTGATTGGTGATTTTTCAAGCTCATCCACATGGGTACAAATTGCATTTGAACACAAGGTACAATTTTAGAGATTAAATAAAGTGTATAAGTTATGAAATTCACTTGCATTTTAAATTCAATTAGACTCCTCGCTTTTATTACTGGAGTAGGTGACAATTTCTATTCAATATAAACATTAAAAGTAGCATAAGAATGAACAAAATAACTTGATTCACAAAATTGGGTGTGGGCCATGTTACGTTTAAATAACTTAACATACATACATTGTACCTAAACAATACCAATGCATGTATTGTTAAAACTTAGTGAAGGTAAAAAACACCAATTTGTTGAAAACAACTGTTGCAGAATTCAAAATATCAAAGAGCAAGTTTGATTTTCTTTTATTTTTTTCTTTTATTTTTTTCTAAAGATTATATTATACAAATTTTAGTCACAAAGGTATGCATTTAAAAATATACCTTTTAATGACTCAACATACCAGTTTAAGTAGTCAACGAAAAATAAGACAACTAAGGATTCAATAATGTTATTTTTTATGTTTTCATTTGTTTCATTGCTTTTTTCTTTCAGATCGGTTATATAGAAAACGATGCACAAATACAGTCTCAGATTTGCCCAGGTGATCCACCATTAGAAGATAAAGGTAACAGGGTGCACTTATAATGGCATTGCTATTTGTTACAATTTCCCATTTTAGAATAATACAAATTTGTTTTCAGTGTTTGTCAGTTATTTGATTTTATTGATGTAAGTAATTTTGATGTAATTTTAAATTAACCATCCAAGTCACGTGGTTAGCTTATAAATTTTTGATTAAACAGTCACTACATCAACAGTTAGAACAACTGTTAAAACCACACAGGAAACATCAACAAGAGCAACTTCACCAGCAACAACAACAATAACAACAACAACAAAGCAATCAATGCCGTCAATAAAGACGACTACAAAATCAACGTCGAAGGAACCTGTAACAAATATAACCGTTGCAACACTTAAAACAACTACGATAAAGACAACAACAACAACATCTTCAACAATGCAACCCTCAACCAAAATAACTCGTTTCACCACTACTGGTGTTACATCGCCAGCAACGACACCGGATATAAGTACAAGCACTTTTAATTCAACACATGTTACAACGTCACAAAATGTTACAACAGGTAAGACAGCTTCACTATGAATAGAGAACAAAATACTTCTTAAATAAGATATATATGTTTCTCTGATTGTCAAGAAATCTGAATATAATTGAGAAAAGATGTAAAATGAGCAATGAAACAGTGATAGCAAACTAAACTTCTTTGTTTCTTTTATTTAGCACGTAAATTGGTATGTCCATTGATAATACAACAGGCAGCACTCTCAGAGAGAAGTTTTGCTTTCGTCAATGACGACAATGGAAAATGTTATGAACTTGTTACTTTTACAAGAACATGGAGCTTTGCTGAAAACGATTGTCTCACAAAAGGAGGACATTTAACATCCATCAAAGACGTTAACGAAGAAAATTTCCTTTCAAATCATGTCCAAGCATACGGATCAACAACATGGATTGGTTTAAATGATAAAACAGTCGAGGAACACTTTGAGTGGTCTTCAGGTTAGGACAATATGTTTCATTGATTTTTTTATGATGTTTGTTGTTAAATGTACAATAATGAATCTTTTAGCAATTAAATATCATGCTATATTAAACTGCACAATGCTTAAGTGTTTCATCTACAGGCGATAATGTTGGGTATGTAAACTGGAAACCAGGTCGCAAAGATCCAACAAAACATTCTACAGATGATTGTGTAACCATAGGAACTCTTTCTGGAACTTGGGACGATGAAAGTTGCGCAAATTATCATGCATACATATGTAAATTTGGTAAGTTAATTGTGATGCTTTTTCCCCATGCGTGTTTTGATTTATTAAGTTTAATAATTGTATGATATTTCTATGATTAAAGTCGAATACCTTAATGTCCATACAGACGATAAAATGCAAGTTTTACACGGGTAGCATTTTTTGTTCTATGCATATTGTGAAATTATTTTGTTGCAACCTAATGTCTGACTCCCTTTTCACGTGTCCTCTTCAAACAAAATGTTTCAAAATAGTAAGTAGCAAAACTATTTTAACACAAGAACAGTTTAAGGATTAATATAGAGTCTAATTATCAAAGTTTGCAAAATGTAACATGCATTTTGTGTATTATATTTGCTCGTTTAAGAATATACGTTCCCCTGTTTAAAAACAATTTTTTTTCATCATATTACAGTAATTTTGTAAATTCATAACAGTGTCTTAAACAACTGAACACATAACATGCTCCAAGGAAAAAGAATTGTTTTAAAATATTGACGTGGCTTATTAATGAACTACTCTAGTTAGTAGATATACAAGGGTTGGATTATTTATTTAAAATGAAGTCTTTATACAGACGCTGTAGCCGACAATGGAACACATGTAAGCAAACCAACCTATCCGACGCTCTCTCATTCTTCTACGTCATCTTCCATAGCTATGATACCATCAACTACAAGTAGCACAGGTATAATAAAACATTAAACTTTACACTTTACATCTTCTGAATCATTTTATTTTTGATAGTTATCATATCATTATACTATTGAATACTTGGCATTTACTTTTGATGAAAACAGCAGGAATATAACAACGGCCCATTCTCTAAAAAAATTTAAGCACATTTCCATAGAAGCCAGACTGTAGTCATAAAAGATTACTAGTATCGAAAGATTTCTGCGACCAATAAATAGACTGCAGTCTCAGTAAAATCGTCCAGATGACAGCACGACAAATCATATCAAATTAACTGATCAAATATCTACCCCGTATAACGTTACATATATTATCACTCTTATATTACTAATGGTGAAAATGTTTAAATCCAAAATGATAATATAACGTCTAAGTTATTTGTTTCCAATTCAACTTAAGCACACTATGATATATTTGACTAGTCATTTGAGGAAAATATATTTATAAATATTTATACGAAGGAGAAGCGTTAACTACCTGTTATGAAATGAGAGAGAGAGAGAGAGAGAGAGAGAGAGAGAGAGGGATTTTAGAATTTGTGTCACAATCCACATTGTACACATATACAGTTCGTAAATAAAGTTCCCAGCAATATAAAATCGACCGGCGAAAATGGGTGCACATTTAGTACCCATTAAAATAATTGCTTGAAAACTGTTTTACCGAACCTGCAAAAAAGCAATTTAACACAAAAAGAGGATTTTACAATTTGTGTCACAAGTCCACATTGTACACACATACAGTTCGTAAATAAAGTGTTTTTTATTATTTTTTATTTCAAGAAAAAAGTCGTTTTTCAATGCAAATGTTTTGAAATAAAGATTATTATTATTGATAAGTTTTTTGTGGCAATATGTTATAAATAGAGTAGAGAAATTGTAAGTGCTAACGGAGGAAATTTTATAATTCCTGGCTTCAATTTTATCTGAAAAATCAATGGAGTTTTTCGCAGTCCCAAAATGATGTATGCCTGTGTTTTCATAAATGGTGTCACTATATCTAATAGCATGTGCTTTCATACCAGTCGGACAAGACGTCAATAAAATAGAAAGATTACCTATATTAAATGACAAAAAGAAGCAATAACGAAGCGGGCTTTATATGGAAATTAATAAATAATTTAATATTATAATATTTGAATCCAGGTATTTATAAGGAGTTTCAATGCCTTTTCATCAACTATTACTTTATAGATTGAAAAATTAAAAAAATGAATAAAAACTAACAATAATAAAAATGGGTACTAATTAATAACTTGTTCATTTTATCAATTGCCAATAATTTCCTATATCTTGTCATATTGAAAGATTTTTAATTCAGCTGTCATAAGTAATACACTGAATTACTAACATAATATGCATTGACTAAATGTAAGTTTCTTTTAATGCAAATATTTATTTTCATCAGGTGGGGTATTTAAACCATTACCAGTTCAACAATTTAAGTAAATGATAAGCTATTGTTAAAAGTTTTGTATTTTTTCCAGACAAACTGCCTTATTCAATGCATTAACTAAGTTTATCTGAATGCAAATACATTTTATCAGTTGATATATTTTTGCCCTCACCGTTTCAATAGCTGCTAGTGTATGTTATTGTTTTTATACGAATTGACAATTTACTGTCAGACAACAGAAGTGTAGGAAATCATTTACTGATATTGTATTTATGAATAATAGAAAACAATCCCTTAATTAATATAATGTTGTCATGTAAGCTTACACCTTTTTTTTCTAGAACGTTTGGAATGTCCGCAAAATGTACTACATGCAGCGAGTACAAACGGTGAAACTACTTTTATAAGTCAAGAAAGACGAATATGTTATGAGTTGGTAACAAGACATAAAGCCTGGGATAATGCTGAAACCGACTGTCAAAGGAAAGGTGGTCATCTAGCAACGATAACAAACTCTAGAGAAGAACAGTTGGTGTATCACTACGTGAAATCATACGGACATAACACATGGATTGGCCTTAATGATCAAACTCGTGAGGAACACTTCCAATGGGCTTCCGGTATGAATCATCATATATGAGTACATTCCTAACAGTAATTTCATATTTTAAAAAATCAAATTGTGAAATATGTGCGACAGTAATATCAAGAGAGTTGTTCGTTTGTTCAGAAGGAAGAAGGAAAGTTTCTGTTTTCTTGTAGATTTAGACTTTTTACTCTTGCGTACTGCTCAAGCATGTGCTAATGGGCATGAGGGATGATGCACATTTTATTATCCCTCATGTACACACTCAATCAATTCAAGTCTGCAATTGTCATGTAATTTTGTTGTGACTTATGTTTCCGAGGAATCACTCTTTCTCCAGAATTTTATATACTTTTCGTATTTGAGTCGGATTCATTTCGGTTGATGTCCACATTATCACAGCCATTATATAATATTATACCATATTATCAAAGTCATTCTATATTATCAATGCTAATAATTTGCATAATGTATTATTATCAAAGACATTCCATATTACCAAAGTCTTTCCATATTATCAAGTTATCGGAGTTTTAACTGACAAAATTATTTTCTCTTAATTGATATATCTACTAATATAGCTTAACATTGTATATAATACTTATTGTTTCAAAAGGAGTTCCTGTCAGCTACTACAACTGGCATACAGGCAGACTGGACATTTATACACATAAATTTGAGGATTGTGTTGCCATGGGCCCAAGAACGGGCACGTGGGAGGATATGGACTGCTTGTATAATTATTACGCATATGTGTGTGAATATAGTAAGGATTTGATAACGTTATTTATATACTTCTTTCAAGATATCTCTATTTAAATAGCGATTTGATAATCATACAGGAACACAAATTAATATCAACGTTAACGTGTCAGGTTACTCACAACATGCGTAACCTGCATTAATAGATCAGTTCATGCCAATTTCAGTTAAAATAACCAAAACGTTTGCACCATTGTGAAATAACAAATGGTCTTATATAAACTATTTTTATTAATCAGACTCTTACTGGATTTATCACCTGGTTCTTGCTTTACAAATCACTTGAATCTAGCTCCTCTTTAAAGTAAATGTTAACATGGATCATAACAGGAGCACAAACCCATATAATTATCCTGGAAGTTTTATTTTTTGTTAAGATGCCGTGACCGGACATCAAGGATCATTCGCCAGTGTTGATGGTATGAAAAAATTGTTTTATATTTTTGTAACTTTTGCGACACTAAGTAAGACTTTAATGTGCAATTATTATTAATATTATAGTTGTCAAATCTATTTGATACCACTCTTGAACCTTATGAAGAGATACGAATAACCTCCTGAATTACGTCTTTAGCAAACATCTTTAGAGAAAACCTTTTTTAATAATGCATCATTTATTGATAGTGTCATATAACTGTTCATAGTTTTCATTTGGGAATCCATGAATCTATATGTAGCTTGTCGGATTAGCTTTAATAATTAACAAATGATTGAATATGTGTCACAATATGTTGCCAAAGAAATAGGTATAGAAGTGTACAGATACATTTTGATATTTTCTTGTAAATCATTGTAGCATTTGCATTACGCTAAACAAGTTACACAATAGATTCAAATAATTGAAAGTTAAGTTGTCCATATATTTAAGTAACATTCATAAATCTTCAAAATCCTTTAGAACGAATAGATTGACGAACAATGGTGCATAATTTATATGATTTTACTTTTTATAGACAAGATATTGATCATATATCATTGACTGATACCTTTCTAGGCTAACATTTTCAAAATATTTATGTTTTCTATGACAATTATTAAAAATTTAATTTTTTTAAAGCATGCACGCAATTTTTCACAATTTTTAGAAATTGTATAATCCTGCTGACGTTCACAAACACAGTTGGTTGGATAAGAGCTTCTATTTTTGGTGTTTAAAAATTTTGTTGATTACTTTTCTGAATCATTCGATTCAGATAAAAGAAGAGCTTTGTCGTAGATGTGTCATTTTCATACTCATTTTAACCGTCTCGGATGTTTAAGGCAATTATGAAAGCTTTGATGCCCAAAAGTACTCTAAGTTTGATTAATCACATTTATATGTGTTAGAATTTAATTTCGTGGTAAGATACCTATTCTAATAACAAAGCTTACTTTATATTATGTATGATATAAAATGGATATTGTATGAATTTCAGTGTAGTTTGGATAAATTGTGATACATTGTCGAAAAGTTACAATTCAAGAAATTTCGCGTTAGGAAATATTAGCGAATCATGCCAGGATAGTTTTTAATGACATGTTTGTTGATAATTACACGAGAACAATTTAGCGATTTTCGTCAATTCGCCAAATTCGCCAATATTAAGCGTCGCTTACTTAACCGCTTGTACCGTACTTGATTACACTACCAACGTTTCTAATTTGTTGCTCAATGATTGACATTTTCTGAATGTGTAATTGATATGTTTACTTATGTGTTGTATGAATTATATGTCAGGTCAAATATACCTGTTAATTAAAGAATGTGTATTTTTGTAGAAATATAATCGGTGATAAGTTTCATTATCTTTTTGAATGTAATAGACTTTCTAATGAAAGAAGACAAGTTATAAAATCTTATTTTTATAGACGTCCTAATATGTATAAATTAGAACAACTTTTTACATTGAAAGATTTACCTGCATTTTATAAACTATGCTAATTCTTAATGATAATCATAAGAAATATAAAAATGTTATCAAATATTTATGTTTTCATTTTAAAGTCAGATTTTGTAATGTTCTGAGATATATGTTTGTTTTACTGATATTCACTTACCACATTCTTATGCCTTTATGCCTCACATATACTTTTATTTTCATTTCTCAAAAGACTAAGTTTTTGCTGTACTTTTATAGTATTGAAAGATTAATCACTGGCTTATTACATGAATCATCTTTCATTTCAACTGTTGCTTTTTATAAATAAATACAAGTATAGTGAATTAGTATTTTGTATAGAAGTTAAAATACTACTTTATTTACATTTTACAACGTTTTTGACATATTAAATCACATTTATAGCTACTCTCTCATTGTAACAAATATCTTACATTCTGTTTAAGCAATATTTAAATGTTGTAAAATTCAGGTTTGCACTTTCTTTAGAAGTTTAAAATAATTGTTTCTAAGGTAAAATATGTATATAATTTAATAATATGTTATAGATATGTTGATATTGTTTAGTAATTATAGTCTGATCTCAATTTGTATAAATAACTCGTTAAACATTTTGACATTATCCTCATATTACATGTTGTATGCATGTTTGAGTGAATAAAAGATGTGTTGTTGTTGTTGTTGTTGTTGTTGTTGTTGTATACACTGGTCACAATCAGTTTGTAAAAGGAAAGCTTTACAAAGCACTATAATTTTATTAAATAGTATTCATTGCATATTCAACAAGAGTTTGACAGATTTTTTTCTTTATGACAAAATATTAAAATATGTATCTAATGGTTGTAATGAAAGGAATCTCCAATTAAAATTCTCTATGAAATAAACAATTGATTAGAACTAGCATTTGTCTATCCTGATTGTTTCTAATTCAATATTCTGTAGGAAACACGCAACTGTGTACGTCCAGTGTTCGCCATCTAGCCGATAGAGATAATGGTATACTAGGTCAATTTGAAAGAGCCTGCTACGAACTGATACCTAACTCGGATGTCAGTTGGCAGCACGGCGAGGATATGTGTCAAAGCCGAGGCGGACACCTTGCTCATATAAGCAATCAACAACAACAGACTTTTATTCAATCTTTTTTGTCTCGACATTCGCCACAACATGCAGTATGGATTGGACTTCATGACACCCGTATTGAAGGTGCATTTGAATGGACTGCAGGTAATATTACTGATATATTTTGACATTTAAAATAAAAAGGTATATTCTTTGTATGTTCTTACTGAGATATTTTCTATTGTCTCCTGCATAGTAAAATTATTCATGGAGCGTTTATCAAGTTGAAGAAAATGTTCTTGCATATCAGACTGGTTTTTCGTAAGTTTTCCCCAAACTTGAAATGTCATGGGAGTTGCAAAATAAGTCAAGCAAGTATTTAGATGAAAAATCATTCTTTGTTTAATTTATAACTTAAATCTATTTAAGGGAGCAAATGGAAAGTTTCACACACATTTTACTACACCTACACGATCATCTAAAGTTACTATAGCACTCAAGGCTCAGTTGCATGTCATAAGCTTATCACATTATTAATCTAGGAACTTCGGTTTCATTCACCAACTGGATCTCTGGACACGAGAGTAATTTTGAAAGTTATCGCACAGAGGATTGTGTGGCATTTATCCCTTACAAGAATGGGAAATGGGATGATATACCGTGTGGTAATACCTTTGACTTAGGAGAAACGCACCCTATCTTGTGTCAATATAGTAAGTTGATTATTAAAACTAACCAATGATCCTAACAAAAGCATCAACTTTTATTTATTGTTTTCAAATAATTATTGGTTTTAACAGTAAAATAAAATTCATATCAACACAGTTTTTATGTATTGTATGAGTGATATATTGTGAGTGATATACATTGACGTGAATTATAAATTTTTTATGAAACTCCAGAAGCTATTAATTTACATCAATTTAATTTTTGCGTTTTGTGTTTAATAACATATTTCTTGACACAAATGTCATAAATTTAATAGAACAGTTTAAAGTGACACCGCAATGGCGACTTAAAGCATACGGTATATGAATAATTTCTGTTGAGTGTAGCCGTTAAACGTCTTATTCCATCTTTGTATGTATCCCTTTTTTGCGCTTGAATAAAATTTGCTGATCGTTTTACTTATTTGGCATGAAATAAAAAATTAAATATTTTCGATCATATATCTTATTCTAATTACATATAATATCCTGATCTAATGACAAGAGGTTATGTTTCTTAATCATTTAGATAAATATGTACTTCGCAACTAAGTATATTTTAAAAAAAAGAAATTTTTAAATTTCAATATATTTTGTGTTTATTAATTTCAGAGATTCCACTTTCACCAGGGATTGTTGGATAGATTTGGGAATCATGCTTTCAATGTAAAGTTAAATAAAACTGTTAATAGTTTATTATTCGTTGTTTGTTGTTGTCGGTGACTTGACTATTGTGAGCTCAAATCAGGTTGTTTGATAGGGTTATTGCTAGGGTTTATTTGCAATACCAACCAAGTTGACACACTGTTTTAACAAAAGGTTAGGGGTTATGGTAAAGGTTAGGATTAGAAATATACCATTTTACGCAAACTGAACATCGAGTTTTGAACATTTTGAACATTAATCCGCCCACCTTTCGTTACAAAAAAACTTAGATGGTTGATGTTGTGCATGCTTTTGCGTATTAATTATTTGTAATTATTTTTAGATAAGTTATATTATGGTTAATAAGATTTTTATTTATTATATGCATGTTTTGAAGAAATTTGTTTGAATTAGTATTATTAAAATAGTATGAAAAGTATATCAATTAAAAAAAGATATTGTTTACTGTTGCTTTAACTTATTAAATTGATCAGATAAATTTTATTTATTTTTACTATTATTTATTATTATTATTTATTTCTGAAATCAGCTGAGACTTGATGACAACATTTTTACTTATAAGTAAACGATAAAATTTACAGTAACAATGATGATATTGGAAGGAGCAATTGGAAATACGTACTGATATTAGTGATTGACGTAACAAAATATGATTGAATATGGTAATGGTTAGGGTATAGGACTTTGACGAAATGCGCCACCAATACTGCGCCTTTCCCCAAAAAACGTCATGTGATATGTATTACCTAATAATTATTACTGCATTTAGCCTTCTGATTGGATATTTAGATCACGTGGCGTATTCTGTAAGTTATAAGTTTGAACTTCGACTACACACCTTGAATGACTTGCCTACAACCCTATGAACCCCAAACATACCTATAAGTGGCCTCGCTCTTTTGCAGACACCCATACATACATAGCCATGTATGATACATATATTTACTTAAATATTACAAAAATTGTGCTTACATGAGTTTAATCCCTGATTAAACACCTTGCACAAACCCTTAAGAACCATACATATACTAATGGTAGCATACTTTAGCAGATGCTCAAACCTACAAAACCATGTATGATATAGATATATACTAAGCATGTTTAACTCGAAACGTAAATCCATCAAATATCACAAATTGTGATAAAATATAAGTTTGAGCATAGACTATACACCTTGTATGGCTTGCCTAGACCCCAAACAACCATAAATATACATATACGTGAGATTTTACTTTAGAAGACATCCATACCTAAACAAACATGTATGATAAAGATATATACTTAGCTTGTGGGGCTCGAACCAGGTCATAAATCTATCAAATATCCGAATATTTGTGATAAAATATATGTTCGAATCTCGTCTACACACCTTGTATGACTTGCATAGACCCCTATGAACCACACACAAACCTTTATGTGGTCTCCTACTTTGGCAGACATCCATACCTATACAACCGTGTATGATACAGATGTATACTTAGCCTGTGGGCTCGAACCGGGCCGTAAATCCTTTAAATATCGCAATAACTTTGATAAAATAAAAGTGGTCTCATTCTTTAACGGATATTCATACCTACATAATCATGTATGATACAGATATATACAAATATACAAAATTGTATATTGAAAAAGTACTTTTTAACAGCTTTTAGCCTAAATAAGCACAGACAAACATACAGAAGACTACACTTTTTATTGAAACTGTTCTTTAAAATATAATTTTGTACTAAAAATGGTTTATTTTTATTTAAAAAGCTTATTGTTTAATTAAATATAAATTTTAAATAAGTGTATATCGGAGGTAATTTTAAGCCCAAATCGCTATATTTCACACATCTTTCCCGAGGAAATAGTCATCGGTTAAGATTATATTTTTCTATATTCCTTGAACCTATCATTCAAATGTTATATTTAAAAAAATTCAGGTTGAATCTTATTTCAACAGTTTTTTGCAGACAGTTAAAGTTCATGAAAAAACAACAACCGAAAAATTGAATGAACCTTACATGTAATAAAGAAGGGTAATGTTGAGTAAAGGTCGTTACTAAAAATAGATTTAATATAGATTTCTTTATTTGCTCTGGTGATAATACCCACTATCATTACCCTTACCCCTTTGCTCCATTGTTTTCGGAGGTAAATGCATAACATTTATCCTTACACCATTAGCCACCATTCCAACGCTTTTAAATCTGCCCTTTTAAACCACCTTTTTCTGACCTCTAAACCTTTTCATCTGCGATGCTCTGGTTTACAATACCACAAAATTACCATTATCCCCCTTACCCATTTTAAACTAACCATTATTTCTTGAGGTTAAGGGAAAATCATCACCCTTACCCAATCCCTCACCATTACTTTCTGAGTGAAAGGCATAACATTTACCCTTACACCTTTACTCACTCAAGATTCATGCAAAGTTTGCATGCACATGTTAAATATTTTTAAAAGGAAAGTATTGTCAACTGAACAAAGAAAGCTGTTTTACAAAATGCAAATTGTAATTGAAATTTAGAAAACGTACCAAAATAAATGGGAATATGCAAAAATAGCCACTAATGCGTTAGTCACGCGTTAGAAATATGGTGACAAATACAGCAAAATAAGTCATTGTATATAATTGTATTTTGTTCTTGAATATTGATTATGTTTCTCTCAAAATATTTTGGCTCACCCAGAGTCATTTAGCTTTAAGTAAAAAGTTATACAATTTTTTGCCCGTACTTTTTTACAAAATGACCATCAATTCTGATTATACGAAGAATGGCTTCATTTGACTCTCACTTGGAACTACTAGTCAAAGGGACATAATTACGCAAAGTAAGTTCAAACAAGATCGACAGAGTAATCTTTCTTGGATAATAACATTGAATAGAAAAACATTACTTGGTCACTTGAATAGAAGGCAACAATCAATGGTTTTATAACTACTGAAAAAAATGTCTAAGTGTAATAGACTATGGCAGAATATGCAGTATAAATCTGATAAACATCGTTACTTTAGTCTCCATTAGATACATGTACGTTCAAGATGTCTATGAGAATATTTACATACTGGGATCCAGCTGTTCGTAAAGTTTAAAATAGATAAAACAGAATCCCTAAAAAAAGCTCAACACGACCAAAATTGAAAATTTTTGCAGGGCTCGGTTTATTGAGCCTGTTCATGGAAGGGTACTGGAAAGGGGCAATTTCCCCGCCCACCCCCCTAACCGTTTAACAAATTCAACTTTTAAAATAAAATAGTAAAATTTTAAATTTAGAAACATCTCCCGAGTTTCCCATACGGGTTATATAAACCCTTAAATGTGACATTCCTGCCTTCCTTTAAAAAGGGGCGTTTTCCCCCAAAAAAAAAATTTCGGGGCCCTAAACAAAGAAAAAAAGGGCGGAACTAAAAAAAAAGGGGAATTTTTGAAAGGGGGATCAGGGGGTTAGTCACCCATAAAAATTGAACGAAAAATTTTAAAAGGGCCCGTAATTTGAAATGAAAATTTTTTAAAATTTTAACTCACTTATTTTCCGAAGAACACTGGTTTCCTTCAATTTAGTTCGGCTCCGATCAACATAACCCCGTAATTGGTCAATTTGGCCGCAATGCAGTTCCAATATTGGTTATTTCTATCATATCTAGTTATTTCAGTGTAGTTTAAAATGTTTCTTTTGTCAGATACATTAATTGCATCAAATACGTTTATAATAAAGAAAAGTGATAATGTTAAATTATAATGCGCGTACGAATTTTAAGAAGCATAAAACAAAATACATTGTTTATCGCCAAACAACAATGATACACATTAACAATAAGAAAACAATTGAAATTACACAGTTTTCTGAAGAAATTAAATTTAGATAAGATAAAAAGTGTAACCTTTTAAGAATACAAGTTATAAGGAAAACTAGGTCAAGAGATGCGTTTGTGATTTGCCCATTACAATGTACAACTTTATCTAGGACACATATAGCTTTCTATGAAACTATCAAGTGTATTCATAGACGGCCCATTTCAGTAGTAGGATTAAAAGTGTTTTAGTTGAATAGTTCTGTTCTGTATAGTGGAGAATACAAAAAGAAAATAATATACACACTCTTCTTGACTCAAATTGCAATATCAAAATCTGAAAGTTTTTCGATTTGAAAAAGAAATTCCTAAATATGCAATATGTTTGTAATCTTGGTGAATTATTAACATGAATTGGTCTACAGGCTGTATATGTTTCCTTTAAGTATTTCAAATATTGATAGTATCAGTTGGATATTCTTTTTATAGAGTTGATGAAGTTCTAAGTGATTTATATGATGAATAATACTATTTTGTTCTTGATCAATTTATAATCTTAAAACTTTGTGTAACTTCAGATTATGTATCTCACACTTGCCAACAAATTTATACATGTCATATTTATATTATTTCGTGTCTTGCTGTTATGTCTGATACCAGACTTGTTATCAGATTTAGCATTATTTACCCAATAAATACCTTTATTGATTTGATAATAAACATTTAACTTTTTTTTCTTCCCAAAAGTGAAGGACTGATACGTAAATAATGTTAAAAGGAATAAAAAATAAATAAGTTGACCCTTCTTGGGGTTTGAACAGTATTTTAGTATTTGGGGGAGGGAATTTTCATTTGGATGGTCAAAATTCCCAAAAGGCAAAAAAAAAGGAAATTTTTTCATACAATAAATTTTAATCCCACCAAAACAAAACCCTTGGGAAAACCCATTCAATTTAAAAAATTTTTAACCTGGGTTTACTATTTTATGATTTCCCCAAAAATTGGCACAATTTAAATCTTGGGAAAATTTTAACAAATTTAAATTGTTTATATATTATTGCGAAATTTTTAAAAGGGGGAAAAACCCCCAACCCAAAAATTTTTCATTTAAAGCTTGGGGGCGATTTATCTTTTTATTAAAATTTTCCCCATAAAAAGATTATTTTAAAAGTTTCTTTTTTTTTTTAACCCCGTATTTAAAAAAATTTTTTGCCAGCTTGCAAAAAATGTTTTTTTTTTTTATTAAATT